GGCTTGGTTCCTGCTCCATAAAGCTTGCATGTTTGAAGATGACACAGCTGCAGTTCAGCTGAAAGGTTTCTGCTTTTGCTTTCAGGACAGTCACCCAAACACATCACTGCAACCACCTAGTGTTGCGAGGTAAGTCCATGGCTAACTTTCCCAATGCTCCATTTCATCCCCATAACCCATTTCCTAGTTAAAGTCAAGGAGCCGTCCTTGCCATGTCTGTACTTGAGGGTTTAGTGCTTCAAATGGAAGCTCTGCCATAGGCAGAGCAATGTGAGCTAAGATTCTTCACCGGGCTTCAGTGATAGTGTGAAGCAGGGCTTTGCTATTGGCTGCAGTCATTGTCTTGGTGGTAGGATCACTTGTAGCATGGTATTGCTTTCCAATTTGCAAGCCTCCATCAAATGCACCTTTGAATTTTAACCCAAACAACTCACCTTTCAACTGGGGATTCAAGACTGTGGTGGCGCGAGGAGGAATTAAATGCCTTCAGAGCGATATCGTTGCTACCACTAAGGGAAAGGAAGTTAGGTCTTTGTAGCTTTGATTTCCCCAGACGTTATATTGGTAGATGCTGCTTGCATCACCTATGACGGCCACAACCACTGCTTTCTGCTTCAGCAGACTTCGAAGAGCTGCCACTGTCAGAATCCCATGCTTGCATTGTATGCAGCTGAGGGAGTGAATAAATATCATGACTGACAAGTTTCTGTATAGTGTATTGCCCGGCTTTGCCCCTTTCTTCATCTCAATGGAAAGAGGAGGGTGGGAAATGTTCTGTCCTCCCACACAGGAACGTATCATTGGCTGTTTATAGAATTGTCACTATGTACCACTTGAGAAACACTGTAGTTTGTTTTGGGGATTATAAACAGCCATGTTGTGTTCCAATCACACCCGGTTGAGATTTACTAGTCAGTTCAATGTAGTGTTACTCAGTGTGAGAATGCAAACAGACGTGGACATCAGGTGTTTGTGAATTATTTCTTCCAGGGTGCCCTCAAATGAGTGAAAATCTCATTTCTCACACTGAGCAGGAAATGTGCCCTTTCTAAAGCAGAGAAACCATTGTCCATAAGTCCAGGGCGTGTCATATGTGCTGAGTTTCAGTGGTAACGGAAAGCATGATGATAAACCAATTTTAGTTAAACTGGTGGGAAAGGTTGTTGGACACTCTTATTGTGGTTTAAGCCAATTTAGTTTGGCTTAAATTGATTAGGAATAGGTTGATGCTAAACTGCAATGAGCCCCTTTTAACATGAACTAAATGCTGCATGAATGTGCACTGGTCGAATTGGGTGTGAATTTGTATGTAGACATGAGCTTAGTGCTGAAGATGCTTCAGTTAGCGCTCTCGCCTCCAAATATCCAGTTCCTCTATTCTTAAGCCCCTCCCCAATACCAAGAATGTAATTGATCTCTAGGCAAATACGATCTGCTCAACTAGGCACCAGTCACTCCCATGCTACCTATTTTACACATTAAGCCATTGTGTCTATGGTAGGTTTTCTGGCTGTCACACACTAAGCATGTTAAATATCAGTTAATTTACTAGTTGAGTAGTGGATGGAATTTCCATCAACTAGTCGATAGGCATTTCTGCATTCCTCCTTTGAAATGTACAAGAGCCCCCTTTGGGGCTCTTGTACATTTCAAAGGAGGAATGTGGAACTCTGCGTGCAGCCCAGGGCCAGAGGGAAGTCCCACTGACTCTGAGCTGTACTCGGGCATACCAGCTTTGACATGTACAAGAGTCCCCAGCGGGAGCTCTTATACATTTCAAAGCGGAAACGTCCCCATGGAGCCTGGGGTCAGTGGGGGACTCAAAGTTCCCCACTGACCCTGGGCTCTATGTTCCACTGCTGATTTGAAATGCCACACGGAGCCTGGGGTCAGCTGGGGAGTCGCTAGCTGACCCCGGGTTCCACATGGCAGCTGCCTCTTTGAAACGCTGAGGTGGCATTCAAAGGGGCAGCACCGCATAGCTGATCCCTGGCTTAGCTATGCGGACTGCCCCTTTGAACACTGCCCCGGCATTTCAAAGCGGCAGCACCACACAGCTGATCCCAGGCTCAGCTGTGCGGCACTGCTACTTTGAAGTACCTCCTCTTCTCTCTGTCCTCCCATTTCCCCTCCACTTTGCTGCCTCTATCTGATAGAGGCAGCTGGGGGAGGGGGAGAATTCAGTTAGACAACTGACTATCCAATAAGCATTTGCTTATCAGATAGTCAACTAGTCCTTAACATCCTTAATACACACCCTGCTTCCAGTGTTCCCTGCAAGCTATGCACTTGTGCAGCTGCTTAAGCGAGATTTAGATGCTGCCCAGCTGATTAGGAGAGTGCCCATAGCTAGATTTTTGTTTCTATTGGTGGTGTACATGCCTCGGTGCACATAAAACAATTTATTCTACACACGGATGGAAAAAATTAGAACAGCATTCATTCCCTCCTTTTTTAGATGCTGACCTTCCAGTGCTACTGGGAGTTAAACCTCCAGATCTGTGTCCCAGGAATAGAATGTGCTCTGAAATACACACAGCATCTCTTAGAATTTAGTTAAGATTTTTTTTTTAAAAAAGCCAGCCCTTCATTCTGTGAACTCAGTTCATTATTTCAGAATAAATGACATTTGTCAAGTACTCCTATCTCAGCTGTCCTTTTTAGACCTCTGATACAACTGAGAGAAGCAGGATATCTTGTGCTCCTGTCTCCAGTACCATTGCAATGAAGTAGAGCTGGGTGAGAATTTTTGACCATGACAGTTTTTCATTAGAAAATGCAGATGTCAAACCCAAAACTTTTCCTGCAAAAAAAGCAGGTATTTGGGGAAATTTTCATGTGAAAGGCTTCTTGAATCCTGAGGAAATGGGGGAAGAGAGGCATTATAGGTTGCGCACCCCCCCTCACATTTTGTCCCTTCCACAAAAAAATCTGAGCTCTACAGCCTCAGGTACATGGGCACAAGTGTGCAAATGTATATTTTTGCCTCTGCCCTGAACAAGAAGGAAAAAAATTACAGCTGCTGTGCTTCATGCCATGTTATGGTGGCTGTACAATGCCACTCAGCTGGAGCTGAACAATGGCTTCTTTCACAGCTGCTTGTTTACTTCTCTGTTCCGGATCTGTGTTTTATTTTTGCTGTGCTATTTTTGCCTGGGCTGCCAAGTGTTCAGGCCTGAGGAAGATGGCAGTAAAAGCATCTTTCTTTAACTCAGGGCTGCATGAGAGCTGATATCCCTGCCAAACAAGCAAGGAACCAGAGTTTGGGAAAACACAAATCCTACTGTCTCAGACAGGGAAAACTGTAGACATATGTGTGAAGCACCTGAGTCAAAAAGAAAACTGGTCACCCTTCTAAGGATTCAAAATACCAGGTGCATCATAGACAGCAGGGACATGAAAGTAACTGTGTAACTGATGAGCCTGGGCCCATCGGTTAACATTCACTGTTACATGCAGGCTTCCGGTACATGGAAGGAGCCAGCTTAAAAACCAGCTCCCAGCACACACCAGCTTCCAATGAGCTGCCTGATGCCCCATGCTGCTACCTCTGATACAGAGGCAGCAGTTTAGTGTGGCAGCCAGGAGCCCCTATGTGTGAAGAGCCAGCTTAACAGCCGGCTCCCTACATGCGTCAGGTTGAAGGGAGCCAACTGCTGCACTGCGTGTAACACTGTGAAATGTTTCAGTGGTTACTCAGGGATGTTAAAATGTGTGTAATTAACTATTAGGCAGTATTCCATTAGACCACTGGAGAGGAAAACCCAAGGTTGGCTTTCAAGCGGAACCAGCCTGTAGTCACAACTGCCTCAGGGAGCACAAAAGTCTGACTTGTGTGCTCAGTGGGTCCCAGGTCACATCAGCAGCTGGGGGGGGGAGGGGGGAAGAGGGGCCACACTTTCCCTTCATGACTTATTTTCTTTTTGTACGTGCTTCCAGCGAAATCTGACAGCCTTCATGATACACTGTTGGCTAAACGCTTCGGTTTGCTGCCCACCTCTCTGGTCTGCGCAGCTCTTTCTTCCTGACTGACAGCAGGGGTCTGGGAAGCGTAGATCCCGCTGAGACTGGCTTTGCATAAGATGCTATTTGCAGTTGGGTAGTGTTCTGTGAGGCTGCACATGGTGCTTCATG